AGACGCCGCGGGCACCGCTGCCGCCCCCGACGAGGGTGTCGCCGTTGGCGACAGGGACGGCACGACCGGATGCTCCGTTGCAGGAGATGGGGACGACGGCCCGGCGACGGCGACGGTCGCGGCGGCGGCGGTCACGTCGGGCTTCGTGGCGTCGAATGACGAACACGAAGCCCCGGCGGCCGCCTTCTCCGCCTTCTCCGCCGGCCGGGAAGCCACGCCGGACGGTGACGCAGGAGCAGGGTTTCCCGCCGGGGGACTGGCGGCAGCCGCCACAGACCTAGGGGAACCTGCAGGCGAGCGTGGCGAGGTCGGGGAGGCCATCTTCTTGGCCGCCGCCCGGGCGGAAGCCACCGTCGTGGTCGGGCGAGAGGTCGGGAACGCGGACGCCCTGGGGAGCAGTCGCATCGGGCCCGCGGCCTCCTGGGGGGCGGGGGCACCATCAGCAGGAGCCTCAGCAGCACGAGCCTCAGCAGCGGCAGGTACCGAAGCAACAGCCGCCTTGGCCTCCGTCTCAGGAGCCGTCGCGGGAGCCGCAGCCGCCGCCTCGGCCGCTGGCGCTCCTCCAGGAGCGGCGGCGGCGGCGGCGGGCGTCGTAATCCCCCCTCCCGACCTCGCGTCCTCGAGAGACTTCGTGATGGCGGGGGCTTGGGCCGTAGGCTTCAGGCTGGGAGCCTCCGCCGAAAGGTCTGCGTTTCCCGGCATGCGCCCACCGAGGTCGGTGGCCTTGGTGTCCGCCTTGGCCGACGACAGCAGCCACGAGATCAGCTCCGTCGCCTGCGCCTGGGGGTGGGATAGGGTCCGACAATAAATACGCATCCGTTCGCAGGGGAGGGGCGGGGGACACACACGCCAAAAATAAGAGATACGCGCCGTCTATTTTCTGTCCGTGTCTTTGTCGCTACTGCTGTAGCGCCCACCACGTTGACCAATGAAAATACGTCAGTCGTGGAGCCGCGAAAATCGCGAAAATGCTGGTACAGGTCGCGATCCGGGGGGGGAGGTCCAGTTCTGTCAGGATCCTGCAGAAGATGAGGAAAAACACACAAGCCACTCCCCGACAGAAAAAGAGACTTCGCCAAAGCCCAGCAAAACGACGAAGCAAAAATGTCCTCCCGGTATGGAAACCCGGGTATGCATGTCGGGGCCACCGATGTCCTTGCAAAAAAATAACGCTCGACCTTTGCCTCTCTTAGCACACCTTTTCCCTGGTCTGGCCGGCGATGCACGCGCGGTGAAGGGCCGTGTGCCCCGACGGCTTGTCCTTAGCGTTGACCTCCACGCCGGCCTGCCCGACCAGAAAGTTCGCCACGGGCGTGTGGCAGTGCTCGCAAGCGAAGAAGAAGGCCGTGCGGTCATCCTGGCAATCACAACAAAAAAAAGACACCCGCACACAGCAGTTGTTCGGCGGCAGCGGCGAAAGATAAAAGAAGAAAAACGAGCCAAGATTTAGATTTCATGGGTGCGAGGAGGGCATGCTGTGGGGGTGGTCGTCAGAACACACGCGGCCTTGTGGCACGCGGCAACATCTAGAGTGACATGAGCCAGCCATGGCAGTCGTGCATGGAGATTGGTCCCGGGGTCCATTCCACGATCAGGTGCCCGGCCTGCACCCCACCATCGTTCCCATCAGAATATCTGACATACAAGTAGACCGACGCGACGGAAAACTCTTGAGAGCAGCCATTTTAGGAACCATCACCGTCTGCCATATGGAGAACAAGCGCCACACTCCGTGCAAAGGTTGAGTTGTGCGTGGCATCTAAAAGCTGCACGGCAGCAGCATCGGTACGGTTGTGGCAACACCGCTCGGAAAACCGCCGAAGCTTGGCCCGAATTGGACGCACAGCCTTTGCGCCCCCCCCCCCCCGCCCGCCCCCCGGTGTTTACCATCGGGGTTGGGTTTTCGTCGCTTGGCAACGACGTTGTAAAACAAGCCCCCCGCTCGGTGTTTGCCATCGGGATTGGGTTTTCGTCGCTTGGCAACGACGTTGTAAAACAAGCCAATTCACTTCGTGAACTCGGCAACCAGGTTACCGGTTTTTTTTTTTCTACGTCGTTTTTTTTTTTGGCGGTAACCATAATGGTGGTCGAGTAGATCATGTTGTGCGGGGTGGAGAACCCTCACTCCGCGCAACGGGGGATGATCGCACCACGTTGTGTTAAATCGGTCAAGCACCCTCGAGGCAGTTACACAGTGCTTACAACTGTCTCTGGAAGTGAAAGCACCAGAAAATAAATTAAGTCATACGTAGCTGTCATCCGTACGCAAGGAAGTAAGCACAAGATGCCGAACACCCTTAGCAGGATGGCAGCTCACCCTTCATGCGACTCGCCAAATACCTCACGGCGCTTCGCGCTTGGTGATGTGAGAGCCTGGTCCGGTGAGAACCCGGCGTGCTCCGTCCCGGCTTTGTAGGGATGCGAGGTCAATGGTCAAACGACTACGGCATGCACGACTATGAGTACACCCCCCCCCCCCCCCCTCCCCCTT